ATTACTATAAATGTAATTTGATTGAGAATTATAGAAGAAATGTAATGTTATTTTTTTTTTAAGAAAACTATGTGAACTTATGTTTAGACTAAATTTAAATTTTAAAATTCATTAACTAACATATTTTCTTTTGCAAATAACAAAGAATAGTTTCTATTTTGTATCAAAAAGTAAATAACAAAAATTGAACAATTATTTCTAATTTTACATGAAAATCACATTTGTAATTATAAATTATAGCATAATAATGAAATTACGGACTTTTTTATATCCAAGCTTCGTTATGAGAGGTAGTGTTAACCTATATTACTATAAATGTAATTTGATTGAGAATTATAGAAGAAATGTAATGTTATTTTTTTTTAAGAAAACTATGTGAACTTATGTTTAGGCTAAATTTAAATTTTAAAATTCATTAACTAACATATTTTCTTTAGCAAATAACAAAGAATAAAGAACTCTTAAATTATTATCTTATTATTAGACAATCTATTGTCATTAAATGTGGTTTCTATTTTTTTATCAAAAAGTAAATAACAAACATTGAACATTTTGAACAATTATTTCTAATTTTACATCAAAATCACAATTGTAATTATAAATTATAGCATAATAATAAAATTACGGACTTTTTTATATCCAAGCTTCTTTATGAGAGGTAGCGTTAACCTATATTACTATAAATGTAATTTGATTGAGAATTATAGAAGAAATGTAATGTTATTTTTTTTAAGAAAACTATGTGAACTTATGTTTAGGCTAAATTTTAATTTTAAATTTCATTAACTAACATATTTTCTTTATCAAATAACAAAGAATAGTTTCTATTTTGTATCAAAAAGTAAATAACAAAAATTGAACATTTTTAACAATTATTTCTAATTTTACATCAAAATCACAATTGTAATTATAAATTATAGCATAATAATAAAATTACGGACTTTTTTATATCCAAGCTTCGTTATGAGAAGTAGCGTTAACCTATATTACTATAAATGTAATTTGATTGAGAATTATAGAAGAAATGTAATGTTATTTTTTTTTTAAGAAAACTATGTGAACTTATGTTTTAAATTTTAAATTTCATTAACTAACATATTTTCTTTATCAAATAACAAAGAATAAAGAACTCTTAAATTATTATCATTGTCATTAAATGTAGTTTATATTTTGTATCAAAAAGTAAATAACAAAAATTGAACATTTTGAACAATTATTTCTAATTTTACATGAAAATCAAAAATGTAATTATAAATTATAGCATAATAATAAAATTACGGACTTTTTTATATCCAAGCTTCGTTATGAGAGGTAGCGTTAACCTATATTACTATAAATGTAATTTGATTGAGAATTATAGAAGAAATGTAATGTTATTTTTTTTAAGAAAACTATGTGAACTTATGTTTAGGCTAAATTTAAATTTCATTAACTAACATATTTTCTTTATCAAATAACAAAGAATAAAGAACTTTTAATTTATTATCTTATTATTGATAATCTATTGTCATTAAATGTAGTTTCTATTTTGTATCAAAAAGTAAATAACAAAAATTGAACATTTTGAACAATTATTTCTAATTTTACATGAAAATCACAATTGTAATTATAAAATATAGCATAATAATGAAATTACGGACTTTTTTATATCCAAGCTTCGTTATGAGAAGTAGCGTTAACCTATATTACTATAAATGTAATTTGATTGAGAATTATAGAAGAAATGTAATGTTATTTTGTTTTTAAGAAAACTATGTGAACTTATGTTTAGGCAAAATTTAAATTTTAAATTTCATTAACTAACATATTTTCTTTATCAAATAACAAAGAATAAAGAACTCTTAAATTATTATCTTATTATTAGACAATCTATTGTCATTAAATGTGGTTTCTATTTTGTATCAAAAAGTAAATAACAAAAATTGAACATGTTGAACAATTATTTCTAATTTTACATGAAAATCACAATTGTAATTATAAATTATAGCATAATAATGAAATTATGAACTTCTGTTTAAGCTAAATTTAAATTTCATTAAGTAACATATTTTCTTTAGCAAATAACAAAGAATAAAGAACTCTTAAATTATTATATA